GAGCCTTTACTAAGTGCAGAAGTCAAAATGTCATCATAGAAGTGTAAGGACTTTTAATCAAGTCATCACTGTTATGTAATGGCATGTACAATAAACTCACACAATAGGCTGCATGTGGTTAGGAACATTGCTGAGACAACAAAAATGTCTGATGCCTACTGGGAAAGGGAAAACTTCAGAAAGCAATGGGGCTGTCACATGTTCCTATTATGGTATGTGCATGAAGGTTTTGATGCCAAGGAGAATATGCAAAACCTTAAGCTTCCCAGCTGAATTTACTTTTTTGTATGGAATTAATTCACTGTGTCTTCACTTCGGCAGGTGTATACACAGTAATGTTTGTTAAAATATCCAGACCCAGGAGCTTTAGGGGGCCCTCCTGGAGTTTTTGCTGAGTGACTTTAAAGACCATTTTTCTTCTGCGTGCTCACATTGCAGAGGTTAAGCCCATCTTCCAGGACTTCGCTAGTAGTAGTAAGAGATTATAAACACAATATGAAACTCTGCTGAAATAAAGTCCCCTTCTGAGAGCTACCATAACCACAAAGTAATGGAGATACGGCAAATTTGTAACAACAGGCAATCAAAAAGTCAGATGTCTAGGACTGCGTATAGTGTCTGTACTTACATTCAGATGTCTTCCTTGAGATCTGTAAATTCCACCAAATTGCCGTGTCCAATACTTCTGATATCAGAGGAAGGAGTTATCACAGTCTTCTCTGGCTGACTCCCTCATGCACAGCCCGGAGCAGCTGAATTAAACCTCCTCCAGTGTTATCTAAGCCCTAATTACCCCAGCACGGGCTCTACAGAACCCTTTTCCCTGCTTCCTCTATTCCGTCTTCTCACCTCCATCTCAAAAGAGACTGCCACAGGTGACAAGGCCAGTCCTGTCCTTCAGTTTTGGAAGAAAAAGGCCCTTGGCCTGACTAAGGCCATCCTCACTCCTGTCCCTACTCGCTGGTTTTTATACCTTCACTTCCTTCTGCCTCCAAATATGCCCAAATGTCCTCCTGTCCTGGAAAGTGAAAAAACAGAAAGGAAAAGCACAACCTTTGCCAGCCCCTGCTGTTTCTCCTCTTCCTTTAGGTAAACCTGGCAGACCTCTTGCAGGGGCTGTTCTTTGCTTCCACAACAACCATTCCTGCCTCATTGAAGTGTAGGTTCACTCCTCCCTGCCCCTAAGAGTCGGTGATCTGGTCCTTGTCAAATCTACTGGACTTGTTCCTAGTTTTATTGTGCCTTGACCTTTTTTAGTAGGTTAAGTGAAACAACCTCGTGTATTCTCAAGGACCTGGGACACCATAGCCCTACATCAGTTGTAGCTGAGCTTCACTAACATAGTTCTGAAAGTCTCTGATAGCCTCCATAACATCACGCTTTCATCATTCTCATATGTTGGCGACCAATGCCCTTCTTCTTTCATCTCCTAGTTATGGGCATACCCAGAGTTTGACTCTTGGGCTCTCCTTCCTTTTCTCTCATTTCTGGCAGTTTTATCTGTTCTCACAACCTCAGTTCTCACCAAATTTTGATGGTCCCCAATTCTTTCTAGCTCTGAGCTCCAGCGCCCAAAACTCTGCCAAATTAGTATTTGCTCTGCTTCCACATACAGAAAATATCTAAGCCTACATTATCACCTTGTCTCACAGCTCCCCAAGCCATTTCCTCCTTTCTTAAGATGGCCTTTTTTTTTTTTTTTTTTTTTTTTTCCTTTTGAGATGGAGTTTCAGTCTTGTTGCCCAGGCTGGAGTGCAATGGCATGACCTTGGCTCACTGCAACCTCTGCTTCCTAGATTCAAGCAATCCTCATGCCTTATCCTCCTGAGTAGCTGGGATTACAGATGCTCACCACCACACCCGGCTAATTTTTGTATTTTAAAGTAGAGACAGGGTTTTGCCATGTTGGCCAGGCTGGTCTCGAACTCCTGACCTCAGGGGATCCGCCCACCTTGGCCTCCCAAAGTGCTGGAATTACAGGCATGAGCCACTGCGCCCGGTCAAGATGGCCTTATTTTATAAGTGACATTACCCACAGTAAACCCTGGGACATCCCCAACTTCCCCATGCTATACAGAACCATCCAATTAGATCTCAACTCCCACCAACCCTTTTGTCCATTATCTTGATCATATATGATTGGTTCATTCCACCCCATTTATCACCCTAGTTCTGTCCTTTAGTGCCTTAAGCCTAGGTTATTGCATTAACCCTTGCACGGACCCTTTCTCCAATATCTCTGTTCTCCACCCTAAACCACCCGCCATGGACCAGACCAATTACCCTAAAGCAGTGCCTTCATCATGATACTGCAATCAAAATTTGACACTTACAAGATAAAGACTGAAACCCTGTACCTGATATTTTAGGTCCTCCATCATCTGGCACAACTGTTCCTCTACATAAATCTTTCTGTCTCCCCAGACCACCTTAAGCATACCAGGAACATGCCGTCTTAGCATCTTTGTTCATACTGCAGCCGTGACATATTCTTCCTGCTGGGGCAAGCACCAAAGACTAGCTGGCCTAGGACTTGGAATTAGAAATAGGTGAAGTGGCAATGAGATACCATCTCACACCAGTTAAGAATGGCGATCATTAAAAAGTCAGGAAACAACAGGTGCTGGAGACGATGTGGAGAAACAGTGTAAACTAGTTCAACCATTGTGGAAGACAGTGTGGCGATTCTCAAGGATCTAGAACTAGAAATACCATTTGACCCAGCGATCCCGTTACTACGTATATACCCAAAGGATTATAAATCATGCTACTATAAAGATACATGCACATGTATGTTTATTGCAGCACTATAGCAAAGACTTGGAACGAACCCAAATGCCCATCAATGATAGACTGGATTAAGAAAATGTGGCAGATATACACCATGGAATACTATGCAGCCATAAAAAAGGATGAGTTCATGTCCTTTGTAGCGACATGGATGAAGCTGGAAACCATCATTCTGAGCAAACTATCACAAGGACAAAAAACCAAACACTGCATGTTCTCACTCATAGATGGGAATTGAACAATGAGAACACTTGGACACAGGGCGGGGAACATCACACACCGGGACCTGTCATGCAGTGGGGGAATGGGAGAGGGATAGCATTAGGAGAAATGCCTAATGTAAATGACGAGTTAATGGGTGCAGCAAACGAACATGGCACATGTATACATATGTAACAAAGCTGCACATTATGCACATGTACCCTAGAACTTAAAGTATTAAAAAAAAAATAGGTGAGGGAGGAATGTAGACACCAGTTTCTTTGGATAGATCTGAAAGTGTGAGCTTTTACACATCTGAGTAAATTTTTTTCTCATAAAACATCTTACACCCTCAAGGTGTGAAACTCCAGGAGGGATACAAAAATCTATTCAACCTGTAACCTTCAGGAATATAATCAAATATTATATAAGTAATTTAATTCAAAATGTTATGGAACTTTTTGTTGTTTAATAGATATAGAGCTTCAGTTTTGCAAGATGAAAAAGTTCTGGGCTGGGAGTGGTGGCTCATTCCTGTAATCTCAGCACTTTGGGAGGCCGAGGCAGGAGGATTGCTTGAGTTCAGGAGTTTAAGACCAGCCTGGGCAACATAGTTGTTAGCAGCTGCAAGTATCCAAGTCACACGTCTGCGAAGTATGTTACCAGCAGAACATATCAGTATCCATACAGGTCTACAGCAACCTCAGTTCTTACCTCCTCAGAAGAAAGAATTCGACTGAGAAGCATAAGGTAGAAGGAGAGATGGAGGCAAGTTTTAGAACACAAGTGAAAGTTGATGAAAAAGCTTTAGAGCAGGAAGGAAAGAAAGTATACTTGGAAGAGGGCCAAGCAGACGGCTGGAAAGGCAAGTGCACAATTTGACCTTTTAACTTGGGGTTTTATGCACTGGCATACTTACAGGCTCTTGCATCCCTTCTCCCACCTCCTAAGATCTTGTTAGGAAGCAGCTGATCACCAGTTTCAGGTGTTTTCTCTCTATTAGAAGATGGCCGTTCCCTGGTGCCAGCTGTGACCAATTATTACTTTAGCGAGACAGTTAACAACCGCCTGACCATCACCTGATGGTCACCCAACACTCCTGGTGTGTGTGAGGCGGGGGGCCCTCTCCCAACCTGCTCATACAACACTAGCTACCCACTGTAACATAGTGAGACCCTGTCTCTAACACACACACACACACACACACACACACACACACACACATACACACACACATACATACACACACACACACACATACATACACACACACACACACACAAAAAGCCTGGCACGGTGGTGTGTGCCTATAGTCCTGGCTACTTGGGAGGCTGAGGCAGGAGGATCACTTGAGCCCAGGAGATTGAGGCAGTGAGTTATGATTGTGCCACTGCACTCTGGCCTAGATGACAGAGGGAGAACCTATCTCAAAAAAAAAAAAAAAAAAAAAAACAGTTCTGGATATTGGTTGCGCTTAACACATTTGAACAGTACACTTAAAAATAATTAAGATGGGCCAGGCACGGTGGCTCATGCCTGTAATCCCAGCACTTTGGGAGGCCAAGGTGGGCGATCACTTGAGGTCGGGAGTTCGAGAACCAAGATCGTGCCATTGCACTGCAGTCTGAGTGACAGAGTGAGACTCCATCTCAAGGCAAAAAAAAAAAAAAAAAAAGGCTAAGATGACAAATTTTATGTTATGTGTACTTTATCACAATTAAAAATAAAAATTAAATTAAAAATACCTTGGGACTCCAAAGAAGGCTAATCTTTCCAACAGTTAGAGGAAGTGGTCTCTGAGTTAAGCCCAGAAGCATGGGTGGGATGGTGACAATAGCAGCTAACGCTCTGTCCTGAGCCTTTCATGTACATGAACTTGATTAAAGCTCTCTATACTCCACCAGATGGATGCTATTACTCTCTCCAGCCTGACTCTAGAATCCAAGAGAAAGGCAGAATTCTTTGATTTATCTTTTGGTTTATCGCTTTAAAAATATCAGATGCCAGAATATTCCCACAGAATGTCCAAATCAAGAGAAGAGAAAGAAGTAAATGTAGGTTTCTGTAGTCAATTGTATTCATGTGGAGATATGTTGTTTACAGCTTTAAATAGTGTTCAGAAAACTCCAACAAAGGAATGGGCATCTTACAAATGTTTGTAAGTATGTAATTATGATACTTATCTTTTGAATCTATACAAATTAGAAATGTCCCCAGAAAGTTTTGCTACGTGACAATGGAACTGAAAATATAACAGCCACAGCTATCATCTACTCAATGCTAGGTTTCATTGGACAAAAAAATAAGTATTCTTAAATTTTTTTAAAATAAAAGAGCTTCTGAAATGGTGACTTCTGCATGCCCGAGCCTGGCAACACTTCACAGCATCCCTCCTTCCTCTTCTCCGCATGAGCCAGCCTTGGTTGTGTGACTACCGTCCCAGTCCAATCAGACGCAGAATAAAAATGAAAAGGTTGATGATGTCCAAGTAGATGTTCAAGGCAGCAAAAACATATTCTTCAGGGTCCAGGGAATAATGGTGGTGCCCTCCCAGCATGAGCTGCACATCCATCACCAAGTACTTGAAGAAAAGGAAGAATTAGCTACTTAAATTGTACATTTCTATGAAATAAGTGTCCCAAATGATCTGAAAAAAAATATTTTAGCATCAGGAGAAACATTGTCAAAAGTCTGTTTTGGGCTGAATATGTTATTCTTACAGCCCCAGTTGGTCACTGGGTCCCCAAGTTTGTACTCTATAAAAACAGGTGCCTCACCTCAGCTGTGAATCCCTTCTCCCCTCTTTCTCCCTATGTCTCATTCCAGCACCTTTGGAAGGAAAGCTAAGGTGGCAAATTATTCCAATTTGCCCAAGACTCTGATATTCTGGGAAAGTCCTCAGTCCCAGGCAAACTGGGATAAATTCATCATCTTTATAAAAAAGCGGGGGGGAAAAAACCCAATGGCAGAGGATGCAGCTTTGCTCTTAGCCTCCATCTATCACCCTGGAGTCCCAGTTTCTCTGCAGAAGTGGTTTTCTTTCCATTCCGTCCCCAAATCTCTGACTTTAATTTATTGCTTCTTATAAGAGGGGATATAATGACTCTCAATCATTTCACAGACATGCATGGGATGGTTAGGACTGCAGCTTCTCGGGAGAGGTTATGTGCTTGACAGGAACATGGGATGAGCTCGATCCAGTGGTGCCCCGCCCATCCAGGAGGAACAGGGCTCAGGATACCACCCAGGACACAACCAACCCACAGGGAAGCCCCAGCCAGGATTCAGACTCCTGTAAGCATTTGGGAATGAGGCACCCTGCCTCACCCGCATGCCCCCCAACTCTGAGAGTTAAGCATCCCCCAAAATTCAATTTTCTTTTCCAGCAATTTGTTTGGCATAGGGTAGACCTGTTTGAGTCCACAATCGTTTTTACTCTGCCTGCAAACGGGAAACAGAAACACCAACATAACAAACGGGAAACAGAAACACCAACATACTTTTGCATGGAAACATTGTTTGCAAGCATCAATACAGCAAGCATCAACACAAAAGGTCCGAGAGTGTAGGAATAAAGGAAAATGAATGCAAATAATTTCCCTTTAAATAGGAAAAGAAATGAGAAAACTGAAATGTATATGCTTAACCTTGTCTCCACCCATACCACCCTAAACACACCCGATCTCATCTGAAATATATATGCTTAACCTTAACCTCCTGGTGTGAATTTTTCTAACATTTGAAGGATATAACACAATTCCAACAAAATAAAAATGAAGCAAAATGTGGATAATGTTTAAGCCTAATGATAATATGTGGGGTTTATTACACCATTCTTGATCCTTCTGAATATGTATCAATACATTCTCGATATGTTTGGAAATTTTGAAAATAAATAATATTAAAAAATAAAATCTCAGCTGGGCACAGTGGCTCATGCCTATAATTTCGGCACTTTGGGAGGTGCCAAGGCAGATAGGATTACTTGAGCTCAGGAGTTTGAGATTAGCCTGGGCAACGTAGCAGGACCTTGTCTTTACTAAAAATAAAAATGCAACCAGCCAGATGTGGTGGCATGTGCCTGTAGGCCCAGCTACTGGGGAGGCTGAGCTAGGAGGATTGCTTGAACCCAGGAGATGGGGCTGCTGTGAGCCATGATCATGCCACTGCACACCAGCCTGGGTGACAGAGCAAGACCCTGTCGCAAACAAACAAAAACAACAAAACCCTGAAAGATGTGATATGATAAAAGTATGAAATGGAATTCCATGCAGCCCTTGAAAAAAAATTAGTTGGACCCAGGTCTGCTAATATGTGGAGGCCATTATTTTTAAGTGAAAAAGCAAAGGCAGAACATTATACATAGTATAGCTAAGTTTGTGTAAGAAGAAATGGTGCCTATGTGTAAAGAAATTCTAAAAGGATTCCAAGAAACTGCTAACAGTTGTTCCTTCTAGAGACAGGGGATAAGAGAGGGACTTTAATTTTCATTTTATAATCTTCTATGTTGTTTGAATTTTAAAATGTGTGCATGTATTACTTTTTAAATAAAACATTCCTTAAAATAGTTTTAAAGATACGACAGCAAGAGATGGGACTAAATGGAAGGAAAGACATTCCCAGATACATTAGCAGTGACCTCCACCAGTTCTCTAGGAGAAGTTTCTATTGTGAAAGAATAGAAACTGGTCTGGAGGGACAAACAAAAAAGAAACCACACCCCTGCTACACTAAGTTTCAAAGCTTATAAATAATTCTTTATTCTTTTCTGAAATATTCACTCTTTCAACAAAAGTGATGTTTTCATGGATTGGGAAGACCATCTGGCTCTCCAGAGGGAATGGTTTTAAATATGATCCTTTAAAAAGGAGCTGAAGAGTTTCCAGTGAATTCCTAACCCCATGTGACTCCAGGCCTAGCACAAGGGCTTGTCATTGCACATATCACATTCTTTACCAAAGAAATGGAGCAATGGACTTACGAATGAGAAGAGCACAGTTCCGAGTCCAGCATACAATAGATGCAGCCACTGCAAAGAGAAAGGATACGGTTGTATAGGAAGAAAAAGATTTGGAATAATGAAAGGGGTCACTTAGGTCACCGCTGCCAGATAAGGAACCAATATCAAGAAAGCTGAATCTGTGGGGGAATTCATCTTTTCTTTTTTTAAAACTAAATTTTATTTTCTTTCAATAGCTTTTGGGGAAGAGGCGCTTTTTGGTTACATGGGTAAGTTCCTCAGTGGTGATTACTGAGATTTTGGGGCACTCGTCACCTGAGCAGTATATACTGTATCCAATATGTAGCCTTTTTACCCTCACACTCCTCCCACCCTTCCCCTAAGTCCCCAAAGTCCATGATAGCATTCTTAGTCAACAGCACCCACTCAATTCCACTGAGCAAGCAAATAAAAACTAAGCTTGCACATGCCAAATAATATTCACCAAGTACGTGCTAAATGTCTCATGCATGGCAGGGCAAGTAGAATGTATTAGACGTGTTTCACTTTGTGCCCCATCCACATACATAGCCCTTCTAGAGAATCTGCCCTCTCCCCTCAGTTCAAGGAACAGGAAGCTTTGGGGTCATAGTGACCTTCACACATCCTAGCTAGAGCTGATTGACAAGCAGTGGAATACCCCAGCTCCAAAAACAGTGAGTCTGATGACTGATCAGGGACTTCTGATATGTCAGTGGGCTTAGCCAGATGCACTAGGCCAGCTGGAAATCAATTCTTAGGATAGAGGGAACCAAGTAGCAGAGGCTGTTATATCTTTAGTGCATGCTGGCACTATTACTGCTATAAGCAGAGGTGGCTAGTCAACTCAGCCACAGATAGGAAGGCAGGGTTTTCATTCCTCGGAATCCCAGTTCTTCTTCCCACCTAGGAGGTCTATGAGTTCCTCTGGCTCTTTGCCTTAAGCTAGTCCGAGTGGTATCTGTTCCTTGCAACACAAACAGCCCCAGTCAGAATATGGAACTAGTCTAAATGCCAAATGACTTGGTTCTATTGGGGAAGAGGATTAAAAAATGGAGTACAAAATCTGAAAAAAGGCTACATATTGGATACAGTATATACTGCTCAGGTGATGAGTGCACCAGCATCCTGAAGAGTTCTTCAGGATGAGAGAGCTGGTTCTGAGAGGGGTGGGCAAAGCACTGCCAGCTTTCACCAAGGATAGGCTCTTGGTGAAGACAATCAGAAGCCAGTGATACAGTCTGGGAGACACAGTATTTCCAGACTGAGCTAATGGCAAGAAAACACCTGATCACTGAAATCCAAAGGTTTCAAAATTGCCAAAGTCCAACAAGCATGTAGACGTAGGGAATGGCTCCAACAAAGCCTTCCATTTAAACACATACGCAAGACTGTAGATGTTTGTGACAGAAAATTTAGAATGGGAACTAAGATCTATCTATCTAGTGGGAAAGAGTTTTTTAACTGCACCTAAGTTATACTGTAAAGACTTATGGAACCCACCTAATATTTGCATTATTACTACCAATATCTCTGCTGCCATTAATAAGTGGAGAACTGGGGCCTTTTAAGGCCCATCTTTGTGATGCCTTTGAGTTTATCTCTAAAGTGCAGGTGCCACCTTCCTAGCTCGAAGCCTATGGGGTCATTCATAACACCAAGAACTGTTGATTCTGTGTATGTCTAAAGATCGTGTAACTAGTTCACTTGTCACCCAAGAAACTCCTTGGTTCAGCATTGGGACCAAGTTGGCCTTAAGGTTTTAGTCAAAAGGGTCCCAGGCCCCAGACCAGCTCTCAGTGGATCTGGCCTCCACACAGGAGCCACTGACTGATTGCCAGCACTAGGCCACATCACACCTCTCAGTCTCTACAGCCCTTCAGAGTCAGTCCATGGACTGTGCAATGAGGTGGGAAGAGCATGGTCACTCGAGTCGCCCTGACCTGGCCTCAGTGCCACCCTGGCCACTCACTCCCTGTGGGATATAGATGAATTATTAAATTTCTCTGAGTCTGTTTTCTTATCTATAAAATAGATGAGCTATGTACTTTTCAGGAATGTTGTCAGAATTTAATGTGATGTTTTGTGAAAAACACCTAGGCTTATGTCCAATATCTAGTAAGAATTCAATGAATACATTAAAGAAAAAAAAAGCTAGAACTGGAAAATAAGGAGCCTCCTCTAGGCTGCTATCAAAAAGGCCCAAACAAGTCTTTCTTTTCCACTCCTGGTACTTCAAACAAGCAGCACCCAAATATAGCAGAAGGAATCTGGCCTGCCCTCATGGGTAGGCTCACCTCAAGACCCTCTTGGAGAAGAACAACTGTCTAGGGTTGTGGCTCGATGTTCACATGCCAGAGTTTCTGCCCATGGTACTTCCTAACAACCACTGTGGGGGCCACTAGGATCCGTCTCACAGACCTTCATTTAGCAGGAGGAGAATGGAACTGACCACAAGCACAGCTGCTGTGCTGTGCAACCCATTGCAGTTTACACTTAGGCCATGCTTCCCCCTTCTCAGTCCTTGCTGGGAGCAGCAGGGCCCTCCCTGGAAGACACGTCACCACCCTGATGATTGACTTTAGCTCTGGGACTTCCTGATGGCCTTGCTGAGCTGCCCTCAGACCACTCCGTGTGCTCCCACTCAGCCTCCCCTCCCTCTCCTTCACTCGAGGCCCGACATGCCTTCATGGTCTGACAGCTCCCCCAGCTGTTGGCTCCCTGCCCCTTTTCTCTCGTGGGCATTTCTCCTACTAAAATCTTTGCGTGCTTATCCCCAACTCCACGTCTGCTTCTCAGAGGACCCAGACTAACATAACCAGCACTTCATCTATATGTTTAACAATTCTCTGAGGTTTCCCAGTAAGATCTCACTCACATATGATCGCACGAAGATTAAGATAATTCCATAGATTAAAAGCACGAAGCAGAAAACGAACAGCACTCCATTTAGCAAGGTAAAATCCCACTGAGGAAATATAAACAGCATAAACAACTCAGTTATCATCTATAAGAAATTTTAGGATGTTTAAAGATGCATCTTATACCCCATAGAAGAAACTGGCCCGTTGCTAATAATTTACCCTGATCAATTCCAAGAACCATGAAAATACATTAGCTCCAACCACTAAAAAATGCTACATAAAAAGTGTTATATTGACTGGGAGAAAAAGGTAGAAGTATGCGTGAAATGCCAGTAGCCGTGAGTTGATATTTGGAAACTGGGTAATGGGTACCTAGGGGTTCATTATATTATTCTTTTTTTGTACTTATATGAAATTTCCCATAATAAAAATACATTGAATGAGCAGGATGCATATTTGAAGGTATAGGATGATCATATAAGCATTTATATGTTCAAAAGCATGTACATAGAAAACATTAATGGAGTGAAACATACCAAGGTGTTAACTGGCTATCTTTTTCACATTTATATGCATATATTTTAACAAAAGTATATACTAAACTTTCAGAAGTTACTGCTAATGATTTTTTGTAATTTGGAAATGCATTTATGTGGTTTTTGTTTTTGTCTTTATAAATCAGTGACCCAAATCAGCCTGAGGAGATTAAGGTTTTCTTAAGAAAGAGGATATTTATCTTCTGGCCTTAAAAAAATTAGATTATGCAGACAAACAAGAGCCTTTAATTCAGTATATTTTCTTGCAAGAGTATTTTCCTAATTCTTTCATTTCTCCCATCATTAAGGCAGGATAACTGGGGTGAGGTAAATTCAGGTGGGGAGCCCTGTCAGCTCTGACCAAGCCTAAGAGATAACAGGTTCCAAGTCACGCCTGTGGTGGGCTGTCAGCTTCAGAGGCCCACAGAGCACGCAGTCACTCTGGGATCCAGGTGACGTCATCCAGGAACAATGGTGGGCCATAGCGTCCACACCCCAACCTCACCCAGTTCCCTTCTTGGCCAGTGCCAAGAGCCCACACAAACCACAGCCACATCCCAAATTCCCAAGCCCCACTTTAGAGAGAAAGGCAGGCAGACAGGGAGGCTGAACAGCTGAGCATTTTGTATCCACATGACACTATTACCCAGCCCAAAGGAACTGCTTCAACTGTGAGATCCAATTACAGTTAAACCAAATGGACGTTTAGTTAATTTTCTCCCTGCTAAGTCGACAGTTGGGGTTCATGAAAAAACTCAGACTCACTGTGTTCCTACATTTCCTCTGCACCCCTTGGGTTGTGGTTGGACTGAATTTTGCCATCCCTAACACATAACTTAACAAAGGGAAAAAATGTGGTTGACCATGGGTTCAGCTGCCTTTCAAAGTCATCAACGTCAATGCCATCTTTAAAATACTTTCTGGCCGGGCACAGTGGCTCATGCCTGTAATCCTAGCACTTTTGGAGGTGAGGCAGGAGCATTGCTTGAGCCTAGGAGTTCAAGACCAGCCTGGGCGACATAGGGAGGCCCCTACTCTATAAAATATTTAAAAATTAGCCAGGGGTGGTGGCAAATGCTTGTAATCCCAGCTACTTGGGAGGCTGAGATGGGAGGATCACTTGAGCCCTGGAGGTAGAGGTTGCAATGAGCCGTGTCTGTACCACTGCACTCCAGCCTGGGTGACAGAGCAAGACCCTGTCTCAAAAATAAATAAACAAACAATAAAAAAAAAAACTTTGCAATGTAATATTCACTCCCCTGAATCCAGGTCATAGGTTACCTGTGACTTAAAATACTAATGGACTTTTAAAAAAGTATTCTGGCAGTTTAGAGGATTTTTTGAGATAGAGTCTCGCTTTGTCACCAGGCTGGAGTGCAGTGGCACGATCTCGGTTCACTGCAACCTCCGCCTCCCGCGTTCAAGTGATTCTCCTGCCTCAGACTCCTGAGTAGCTGGGAGTACAGGCGCGTGCCACCACACCCAGCTAATTTTTGTATTTTTAGTACAGATGGGGTTTCACCATGTTGGCCAGGATGGTCTCGATCTCTTGACCTTGTGATCTGCCTGCCTCAGCCTCCCAAAGTGCTGGGATTACAGCACCCAGCCATCTTAGAGTATTTTAAATGGCTTAAGAAATCTGTGCATTCAACAGTGGCCCACCTTACTCATTGCAAGGAAACCTATCTGTGTACAAATCGGCTGGTATCTACAAATGACCAGCTTTAAGATGGCAAATACTGATCTCATCATCAATTAAAGTTGAATCTCTAACTTTTGATACAGTTTGACTAAATATCTAGTAGATCCTTCTGTCTCTCTGACACTTCTGTTTCCACCAGGAAAAGGCTAAAATTCAGCATGTGTATAAGACCTTCCTTATGATGTTTGCCAAACAGCTTGGGAAATGCGCTCCCTTCTGTGTAAGTTATTTACCTGACTAAGGCCAGCCCATTCTTTACAAAAGGAAACTGATCAGGACTGAAAGGAGGGGCCACAGGAAATGCTGCATCAGCTCTCAAGAACACCCTGTGGTTGGACAGAGGCTGAGCCATCTCACAGTTCCACTGAAATAATCTCGAATTATGAGATGTCCTCTGGGACATCTTGGCATTTTGGAGCCTGGTAAACTGTACAACTTTTAAATTTTTAAATTCCCTGTATCAGTCAGCGCCCTAGCAAGGAACAGATGACACACTCAAATAGAATGATCTGAGGAGGGTTTGTTTGTAAAGGAACTATCCACAGAAGTGTCTGCAGGCAACCAGAACGGGTAGTGCAGTAAGCTAGGCTGGCAGCCAGCCAAAGAGCTGTTACCAGTCCCAGGCCCAAAAGGGGAAAGGAGAGGGGGCAGTTACAGGAGCCCAGAAGGTGTGTTGAGTTAGCCGTCTTGTGATAGGCAGTGAATCTTGCTAAGGTACACCGCTAGCCGAAGAACTTGTCACTGGGAGGAAGCCATGGGAATCAGTACCTCTCCCTTCCTGCCACTGTCTCCAGCTGGGACTCCCCATTGGCCAAAGCCCATGGAAAGCCCAAAGGCAAGAGGGCCCTGAAGGTGAGACCTCCAGGACTGAGAGAGCAGGGGGAGGCATAGGGAAATGTTTCGGGGACAAAGGGACATACCTGGCACATTCCCTTCAATAATACCTACTTTTGTTTGTAGAGCAAACAAAGTGAGTGCTAGAGTCACCAGAGTGGTTGCAGCTGTTGCCCATAACACTTCCTCGGCCTTGTAGAAACTAAAACCAGAGACTGTGATTATTGTTCACATACATTCCAAGAAAAGCACACACAAATCAAAGGAAATGTGTATCAAAGACTCACACTGATATGGCTCCTAGCAGCAGACCTTCAAGAGCTGTCTAAAAACAAAATTCACAATAAATCAGAAGCCTGCTTCCCGAGGCATGGGGGCAAGGCCCAGAATTCAGAAGAGGTGATTTGAGGGGTGTGCTGCTGAGCAGGATCTAGGGAGCAAGGGGGAATATGCACAGCCTGGTACACACAGCCACAGGGCGACTATGGGGAATGAACAGAATTCAATATTTCCGTAACATCCTCCCTAGGATGGACAAGAGAAAAGTATTAGTAAACATTTCTTTGAACACTGTAGTAACTTTAATATACTCAGTGAATTAAATATGTATTAATTATGAATGTAGAAACCAAGGTAAAAAGGTTCATGTGTAGACCATATTACCATTCATCAAAGGGGGCCACCCACACAGTATCAATGTTTCATCAGGACAGGATATGTGATATCTAAGCTTCATAACACTCTGGGTACAGACACTTTCCACGGCACCTGAGGGACAGCCTTCCAACCTCAGACATGGGATGAGAACCAAGGTCTTCCCAGTGCCGGAGATGGGGCTGGAGGGCAGATACTGGCACCTGCAGGTGCCAGCCCCGGGCTTAGGAGGACTGTCATCACGCAAATAGAGCCAGGGGTGCGGGGAAAGGTGGGATAAGGGTAGGGGCTGAGAGCCAGTGGGCAGTCAGGCTGGAGGATGAGACCAAGAAAGGCACTGAGGTTGTGCCCAGGCCCACAGACCTGCCAAGGCATGAGGACGACAGAGCAGTGGCCACAGGGCCAAAGGCATGCCCAGCCCCAAGGCTGCTCTGCCAGAGGCAAATCCAGAGACTGGGCTGACCCACTGGTCCACAGGCAGAGCCAGGAAAGACTCCTCCAGTCTCCAGGGATAAAAATGAAGGCACATCCTAGTACGAGGCCTGCGAGAGAAGGCTTTGAACTCCCGCTGGCCAAGGATGGCTGGGAGCAGAGGCTGGGAAAGAAGTGGAGTCCCCAAAGTCCTGGGTCGCCTGTCTGGCATTTCCAAACCCAGTGGGTAATCGCCTGATTCTCTACCTTGTACAACTTAATGAAGTAGGTTGTCTCTATTTCCATTATAGGGAAAACAGTGTATCTAGTCTCCATACAAATGATATTTAATAATGTGCTCGCTTCCAACCTTCCTCTCCAGATGACTTTTTTCCTCTTACACTGGATCAGTTGCTTCCTATTTCTCCAGCTCCAGCAGCACATAAAGGAGGTATGCATGTGTGTGGTGTGGGTGGTGTATGTGTGAGTTTGTGAGTGAGGTGTGTATGGTGTGTGTGCCTCTGTGTCTGTGTAATATGTGTGTGTGAGCGTGAATGTGTGTGTGGTGTATGTGGTATGAGTAGTGTGTGTAAATGTGTGGTGTGTGTGTATGTGCTGAGTGGTGTAAATGTGTGGTGTGTGTGACTGTGTGTGTATTTGCTGAGTGGTGTGTGTAAATGTGTGGTGTGTGTGACTGTGTGTATGTGCTATGAGTGGTGTGTGTAAATGTGTGGTGTGTGTGTGACTGCATATGTGCTATGAGTGGTGTGTGTAAATGTGTGGTGTGTGTGTGACTGCATATGTGCTATGAGTGGTGTGTGTAAATGTGTGTGGTGTGTGTGACTGTGTGTGTATGTGGTGTGAGGAGAGTGTGTGGTGTGAATGGTGTGAGGCGGTGTGGGGTGTGTGTGACTGTTGTATGTGTAAATGTGTGACTGTGTGTTGTGTATGTAGATGTGTGACTGTATGTGTAATTGGGAGCAACTGGGAGGAGACAGGGAGAGAGAAGAGGAAATGGTTTCAAGCTGGAAAACGGATTTCGGTTTTGGAAAAAGTGGAAGGGAGAGTAGGAAGAGGCCGTGGAAGTCACAACTGTCTGAAGACTTCAAGAGCTCAGAACATGGGCTCAAGGGGCCAAAATTCTATGGGACAAAAGCTGTTGTCAGTGAATGTGTTTTCCTTTTTTCCCTCAACTCCTTTTCTGAAATGGGCTTTTTCCTATATATCTTCTAACCCTTGGACATGACGTTAAGTCTGGAAGACATAACAAATGCTTTACCCCTGTATAATATCTCTTAAGCCGTTACTTGCTTTGAGATAAACAGCAAAACCTCAGAGATGAGAGCTTCCTTGGAGACCAATAACTTTTGTCTCTTGTAATAAACGTTAAGGCCATTTAAAATGTTTAAATAAAAAACTCAAACATTTCTGGGAAACCAGCACGCCCTCCTGTCGCCCTTCCCCACCTTCTCGGCTCCCAGATTCCCGCCTCCGTCTGGCTTCCAGCCCCGCCCCGTTCTGAGTGTGATCTCTGCTGTCAGCGCAGGAACTGGGACACCCCACTGCTGGCCTGGGCAGTGAGCAGGGTACCCACACCAGCTAACAAAGGCTCCTCCATGCTCTGGCAGGTGAGGAAATGTCCAAGCCTGAGCAGCGGGCAGCTAGTCTTCTCCAGCCTCAGGAGCCAGCTATTCCTCCCAGCATGTAAATCCCCAGGGTCGCTGCACAGTACTGGTGCTGAGTCTCACCGACGGTCACGTGTTCCCGCTCGCTTTGACCACCAGGGGGCGCAGAACCAAACCTAGGCTCCAGACACGAGCATAGGACTTGACGCATTTTGTCCACGAATCTAACCATTAACTTTTTCTACCCTATTTTTCCTTTCATCAGATTTTTCCATTAATTGATCTTATCTTTATATTATTGATATTTTTTAAGCCACCTCAAATCTGATTTGGGATCAGATGGGGAATAAATCAATTGGCAAATAAATCTTCCCATGAAAGAAAGATCAACACTGCTTGGGAAGAAATGCCAACCTTTCCAAAAAAAGAATCGTTTGCTGGCCAGGCGCAGTGGCTCACATCTGTAATCCCAGCACTTTGGGAGGCCAAGGCGGGCGAATCACCTGAGGTCAGGAGTTTGTAGACCAGCCTAGCCAACATGGTGAAATCCCGTCTCTACTAAAAATACAAAAATTAGCCGGGCGTAGTGGCGTGCACCTATAATCCCAGCTACTCGGGAGGCTGAGGCAGGAGAATCGCTTGAACCCGGGAGGCGGAGGTTGCAGTGAGCCCAGATCGTGCCATTGCACTCCAGCCTGGGCGACAAGGGCGAGAGACTTCTTCTCCGGAAAAAAAAAAAAAAAAAAAAAAGAATTGTTTGCTGACACCCTCCTGAATCATACTGAGACGGTTCTGGGTTTTCATAAGAGGACCCAAACACTCTCGGAGTTACTATCTGTGAGCTTCAGAGAGGCCACACCCCCGGGAGGCAAGAGGTTTGGCCTGACTGTTCTGCCTGACTCCTGAAGGATGCCAGGTCACTGGGGAGGAGCCCTGTGACCTCTGGGCAGCTAAGCCCTGAGTTGGAATGCGGGGAAACTGGTGGAAATTCGAGTTCTATTCAGGTTTAGAAAAATCTAGGAGCTTCAGGTACCTGCTGAGAGCTGGCACGATCCTGGGGTTCCTGTGGGCAGCACAGAAAGGAATTGGCTACAAGAAAGGGAGCCACCCAGTGTTCTGTGGTCCAGGGTGGCACCAACGACAGAAAATGGGCAGGTGTGGCGAGGCCTTGTGAGTGGAAGCCACCACAATGAGGCGCTGGGGAACCCGGAACCCGGGACCAGGAACCGGGCCGCGGATCAGGAGAGCCCTCTCAGCCCCTGACTCTGCGGTGCTGCAAAAGCCCTCGTGAGCTGAGATGCAAGCTGTGGAAATGAGGGAGAACCTCGCTCAGAGATGGGTTCTGCTCCCAGTGGGATTTGAAGAAGAAATAAAATACATTTTACAAGAATAAAGAAATATAAACTTCTTGCACATGACTTTGTGAACTAGACGTGGAAACCACTCTCCATAACAAAATGTACTTGCGCCTGAGAGGGGTCCGGCAATAGCCAGGTTAACTGTTCCTGAAGTGTAACCCAGGCTCGGGAGTGCGCGCCCCCAGGTGGCCTCATCAGAGGCAAATGTGCCGGCACGAAGTCGCCCAGATCCCCAGATCCCCTAATCTGCTCAAAGGGTGTGATACCATCTCATAAGTTTACTACTTCATTACAAACAAAGTTCCGTCAAGAGAACGTTTCACACATAATTTCTATCTGTATTATTCCACAGGAAGAGTTTCCATAATAAAACGAAAGAATTTAATAACGCGACAAAAATATATTTCAGAGGTAAACTAGAACAGGTGCTGACAAGGTTTACTTACAAAGAATCCCAGGAGAATGTAATTTGCAGGCACCTGACGGCGGAGATTCCCACAGCAAGCAAGTATAATCAGTACCACAAAAAATGCTGGGCTGGAGGATAATTTAAAACCACGTGTTATTTGTTTTCAGTGACTATATCATAGCATATTATATTATACAGAGATAAATAGATGTAGATATAGATCATAGTATTACTATGATCTTACTTATCTCATAGTATTATAAACAAAAATGTTAATTATTATTTTTGCCTTTTCTTAACTTTTTTTTTTTTTTTTTTTTTTGAGACGAAGTCTCGCTCTTGTCCCCGAGGCTGGAGTGCAGTGGCGCGATCTCGGCTCACTGCACCTCCACCTCCCGGGTTCAAGCGATTCTCCTGCCTCAGCCTCCCATGTAGCTGGGATTACAGGCACCTGCCACCAAGCCCGGCTAATGTTTGCATTTTTAGTAGAGATGGGGCTTCACCATGTTGGCCAGGCTGGTCTACAAACTCCAGACCTCAGGTGATCCGCTCACCTTGGCATCCCAAAGTGCTGTGATTACAGGTGTGAGCCACTGCACTCGGCCTTCTTAGCTTTTAAAGTTAACTTTTCTCATTTCCATCCACAGATAACTTATGGGCATTAAAATATTTTTATTTTAAAATGATTATAGATTCACAGGAATTTGCAAAGAGATAAAGAGGTCCAATGAAATCTTCACTTAGTTTCCCCCAGTGGTTACAGCTTACGTATTTACAATACAGTACCAAAACCAGTAATTTGACATTGATACAGTATATATATATATATATATATATAAAATTCTGTATCATCGAATTATGACACAAATCTATGTGCAGATGCATGTAACCACTATCACAATCAAGACTCAGAACTATCCCTTCAAGAAAACATGCACAAACACCTCTCTTATACTACCCCAGCCCTGTAGAGTGTGAAAGTCACCGATGCCAAGATGGAGTCACTTAGGTCACACCCAGAATGGAGCCAGAGGCCATGAAGGAGGGGATCTGTATATCTGAGATAAGAGCTAGCCCGAAGGCCTTCTAAAAACCCACAAGAAATTTCTATATGCCCCACACGTCCCTACATGTCCTGCCTACATGTCTATAACAGGGTATATCATAAAAAATTCCTCAAGATGGCAGCATTCCAGCCAAGCTGCTCTGACAAAAACACTTGCCTGGCAATGGCTATCTCCACCAATGAGTTAGCACCAGCTCCCGTGACAAGCCCCTGTGGCCAATGATTTTTGTTTCAAAATAATTTACATAGACTTCTCTTTGCCTTTTAAAGACTTCCTCTTATTCCAACCTCTCCATCATCCATCATGGCCTGTGTATCCCACCTTGCAATGCCCCTGCCGCTTCCAAATACACTCTGCAGGAAGCCTGTCTGTCATTAACTTAGGCTGACCCACACCCACACACTCAACCCTACCTCCTGACAGTCGTTAATTTGTTTATTCTTCATCCCTATAATTTTATCATTTCAAGAATGCTATACCTTGTACCTCATTTTGAACAGTAAAAGAACCTCAGGCAATAGACAGTAGAAAAAACAAATTGTATTAAGTCCAATGATACTTACAAGGTTGCATAGATGAACCAGGGGTTTTTGAGCACCCAAACTTTTAAAGCCTCCCTGGTTAAAAAAAAAATTTAACACAGTTTTACACAATAAATATTTCACTAACTAATATGTATTTAAGTAGAAGTAAAGCAATATCATGAGAAGAAAGGAAGAAACCCTAACTGATGAATAATGATGGATGGGGATGAAACAGTGAAACTTTCTTTTTCTTAAAATAGATATATTCATAATAAGTTATAAGTAAAATTTGGATGAATGCAAATGTCCTAATAAAGGTTTTTATTTTTTAAATGCTGAGATTGGTATGTGTGCAAAGCAAAAGAAATCAACTTCTCATCTGTTTGTTTCATAAATATAGATTTTCATAGGATATGTTTAAGCAGTGACAGATCATAGTCCCTCAAATAAGTTATTTCTTTTGTTTTTAGAGACAGGGTCTTGCTCTGTTGCCCAGGCTGGAGTGCAGTGGCATGATCGTGGTTCACTGCAGCCTTGAACTCATGGTCAAGTGTTCCTCTTGTCTCAGCCTCCTGAATAGCTGGGACTACAGGCATGTGCCACCACATCTGGCTAATTTTTATTTTTATTTTTGTAGAGATGGGGTTCTCACTATGTTGCCCAGGTTGGTCTTAAACTCCTGGCCTCAAGCAATCCTCCCACCTCAGCCTCCTAAAGTGCTGGGATTACAGGTGTGAATCACCGCACCCAGCCCCCTCAAATAATTTCTGGATTTAACACTGTTCCAGCCTCCAAGGTCTCCATAATCTCACCTTTCTTTTTCCTTGAGAGACAGTCTCACTCTGATGCCCAGGCTGGAGTGCAGTGGCTCAATCTTAGCTCATTACAGCCTCCACCTCCTAAGTTCAAGCTATTCTCCTGACTCAGCCTCCTGAGTAGCTGGGGTTACAGGCACCCACCACCATGCCTGGCTAATTTTTGTATTTTTAGTAAAGACAGGGTTTTGCCATTTTGGCCAGTCTGGTCTTGAACTTCTGACCTCAAGTGATCCACCAACCTCAGACTCCCAAATTGCTGGGATTACAGACATGAACCCCCACGTCCGGCTCACCTTTTCTTCTCTATCCAGTTTTAACTGTGGAAACAGCTCAGGAGAAAATAAAAAAGAAAGCAGTGTCCAAAATAAGAGTTTAAAAAAAGCTTTTTTGCTTCGGTTAGGAAGTGAAATAAAATTCTAGAAATCTACTACCACCTTGGTCTAGGAGTTGCCTCAGAAAAACAAAAAGAGACAAACTGTTTTTAAATGATCAAAATTAAATTAAGCTGATTCAATAAGAATTAATGTGAACAACCTAACACTTAATTCTACATCAGTCATAAAGACTTACCAGAAAATAAACACACTGGTAATTACCGCAGTGAGCAACAGCTGAGCTGACAGGAGGAGGAACACTTTGATAATGAAAGCTGAGGAGACAGAAACATTATTTTTATGACAAAATAGTCAAAAGTAACTACATAAATGTTACAACTTCTTTTTGACATTTAATGATAGGATTATTATTTTTTTTTTTTTTTTTTTTTTTTTTTTTGCTTTTTTTTTTAGGATGAGAAAGGCAGTGCTAGTTTACAGTCAGCAAATGGAATAACAACAAAAATGCAGCTCTATAGAACTTTTAGAGCACACTCAATCCAGATGGTTGGATAGAGGTGTTTTATTGGAGATCTGATGGTTTTATCCATGGGAGCTCCAGAATTTTCTTTTTTTTCTTTCTTTCTTTCTTTTTTATTTGGAACAGAGTTTCACTGTGTTGCCCAGGCCAGAGTGGAGTGGCACGATTTCAGCTCACTGCAACCTCCACCTCCCAGGTTCAAGCGATTCTCTTGCCTCAGCCTCCTGAATAGCTAAGATCACCACCACTCCCAGCTAATTTTTTTTTTTTTTTTTTTTTTTTGTATTTTCTAGGTAGAGATGCGGTTTCGCCATGTTGCCCAGGCTGGTCTCAAACTCCTGATCTCAGGTGATCTACCTGCCTCAACCTCCCAAAATGCTGGGATTACAGGCATGAGACATCACGCCTGGCCAAAGTTCAGATTTTTCAAGACGAACTCAGGAATTTAATTCCTTGTCATGCACACCCCATCCTCCTTAGGATCAAACATGATTTGAAAGCCTCACCGTGTCACAGGCCCATCATTAGGGATCCAGCGAAACTACCTCCCTGCACCGGACAGCAGCAGCGCTTCAGGACTGTGGGGAGAGGGGATGTCTCCTTGGAGATGGATTTGGGCTGCAGAGAGTTTGTGGAGCTTTTCTGCCACTTTCCTCTCCAGCCTACCTGCCTGTAGTAACTCTCTTCTCTTCTGCTTCCTGATGCATAAATAGATAACTTGGTGAACTGTACATGAGGCCAAAGAGTTCCAAAGGAATGACAGGCCAACATACAAGGCACAGCACATGGGCACCTCTTTCTGCTTACATCCTGGGCCCTCTGAATATAGCACTGGCAATGGCAATTTGCCTTTTGTGTGGCTTTATCCCAGTTTCAAAGGAAAAAAAAGAAGTAATGCTGCTTAAAATTAACTTATAGGATTGTCAACTATCCTTTTGCTGGGCAGTTTCTATGCATAGGAAGTATGACAACAAAGCAGTGGATCTAAGCTATCTTAATAAAAATAGCAGAGCATATATTCCCAAGTGCATGCTGCCTACATGAAAATATTCATTTAGCTCACATTAATTTGTCATCTGCTATGTAGCAGGGACTGTGGGGGAATATATTAAATGTGGCCCAGGCTCACAAGAATAGACATAGAGATCAATGGAATTGAGGTGACAGTCCAGAAACAAACCTTTCTATTTATGGTCAATTGATTTTTAACAAATATGCCAGGAAAATTCAATGAAGAAAGAATAATTATTTTGACAAATGGTGCTGGGAAGCTGGATATACACCTACAAAAGGATGAATTTGGATCCCCAACTAACACCAACCGCAAGCCATAACGTGGAGTCATAATGGCCATAGCAGCTCACCTACCATCTCACTATAAATGAATGAGAGCTCGCAATTCAAGACCAATATAAGAGTTGACCAACTGAGTCAACCCACAGAATTATGAGAGATAATAAAATGGTTGTTGCTTTCTTTAAGTGGACAAAGGATTTGAATAGACATTCCTCCAAAGAAGATATATGAATGACCAATAAGTATAAGAGAAAATTTGCTAATGAAATGTAAGTCAAAAGTACAATGAGATAACACTTCACCGTCGCTAGAATGGCTATAACCAAAAAGACAGACAATAACAAGTGTTGACAAGGATGCAGAGAAACAGGAGCCCTCATACATTGCTGCTTGGAATGTAAAATGGTGCAGCCACTTTGGAAAAGTTTGGCAGTTCATCAAAATGTGAAACAGAGTTATCGTATGGTTCAGCAATTCCTGGGTATCCACCCAAGAGAAATGAAAACATATGTCTACACAAAAACTTGAATATGAATGTTGACTGCAGCATTATTCAAAATAACCCAAAGGTGGAAACAATCTAATTGTCAACTGATAAATGTATAAACAAAGGTTTTCTATTCAGGCAATGGAATTGTATATGGCCCATTCATAAAAGGAATGAAATACTGACACATTCTACAACATGGGAGAACCTTGAAAACATTAAGTGAAAGGAAATCACAAAAGACCACATGTTGTATGATTCCATTTACATGAAATGTTCAAAATGGATTCATAGAGAGGTCTGAAAGTAGATTAGTAGTGGCAGGGGTTTGAGAGAGGGAGGATGGGAGTAACTGCCAATGGGTATGGGTTTCTTTCCTTTTTTTTTTTCCTTTGGTAAAGATGGTGTTTCACCATGCTTCCCAGGTTGGTTTTGAACTCCTGATCTCAAGTGATCTACCTGCCTCGGCCTCCCAAAGTTCTGGGATTACAGGCATGAGCCACTGCACCTAGTCTGGTATGGGTTTCTGTTTGAGGTGATGAAAATGTTCTAAAATTGATCATGTTGATGATTATCAACTCTAAATATACAAAACACCAGTGAATTGTACACTGAAAAGGGATTTTTATGATTTGCAAATTAGATCTCCATAATGCTGCTTTAAAAAATGACAAACCCCATAACTCAATCCATTACCCTGCTATACTTTTCCTTTTCTCCACAGCACTTACATCTTTTCATATACTATATAATTTTTTTTAATTGGACAAAGGCCAGCCTCTACCCTCCAGGAGAGGCAGATATAAATAACTGACTCTTACACTGGCAAGGAGGCTCTACATATTTTTCAATTAGACCTGAAAGACTAATTCGATTGGACTCCTTAAGCCTCATTTTCTCACCTGTAAAATGGCAATACAACTTCTGTGTTTGTAGGGTTGTTGTAAGGACAAAATGCAATAACATTGCCCTTGCACAACACCCTGTGTCGGCCTGGTATTGATCGCAGAGACAGCCAGTGGGCTCAGCTGAACAACTCCAGATAGAGGTGGCCATGTGATACAGGTGGGTCAATGACGTGGCATTCAAAACTCTGGGTGTGGTTTCTAGAAATTCCTCTGAAAAGAAGACTGGCTTGGTCAACTCTCAGGATACCTGCAGCCCTCTCTTGGCTCTACTTTGCCTTTGGCTGTTTGCCTTTTCCTTCTCCTACCTCAAAGGCTAGAGCTCCAAAAGGCAGCTTTCCAGCCACAGGAAAGGAGTGGTGAGGGCCACAGCGAGACCAACAGGATTCAAAGTTCGCAGTCCACCTGCAAGTTGTCCAGGCCCTCAGAAGGCCTAAGGGTGGCAGAGCGGAAGCTTTAAAACTTAAGCCAATATTATGGTATCACCTTGTATACAAGTAAAAACATTTTATGATCCATGACTAATTCATATTTCCTTAAAAAAAAAAAGTTATTCACCATATGTTTCTTATGAGTTTCTGAATGCCCTGGACAACTTGGAAGCAGTCAATTATAGCAGTCCTACATCATGTTTTACGAGAAAGCATGACTCAGAAAAACTAAAAACAAAATTATATCTGACAATCTACACTGTGGAAACATTTTAAGAGAACATGTGCTCTTCTCTTCTAAAAAGGTAATTTCTTTATTCTCACCTCTGCGGACAGATGCATCTGAGAAAGGATTGCCTAAAGTTGCATTGCTATCACCTGGGGTGATGTCATCTGAAATTTCTACCACATAGGTATTCAACTGCTCGGTGCCCTTTGGCCGTGGCTTCTCCCGAGTTTCTTGTGGCCCAGCTGAAGATGAAGGTGTGTAGCGCTCACCAGATTCGGACTGGATGCTTTTATCTGCTGCTTTCCGAACCAGATGTTGATGATCTCCAGAACCAAAGTCTATTGGTTCGCTGACCTCCAAGTCCAATTTCCTAAAGGGGGAGAATTGTTTTTCAAGTCCTTATGATCACACCTCTACAACCTTAGCATCCTCATAGTCGTTAGGTGATTTCTTCTTAATTTTAACTGCCTTGGCTCAATACTTACCAAGTTGGTGCTCAGTAAATATTTGTTAAATGAATGATAACATTTAAGATGAAACCCATAGAGTAAAATAATTTGATTGTATTATGAAATTAATGTTTAAATAAAATTTATTCAGCAAAAACTTAATGAGTGCCAAGCATAAAGATGCCCTTGCTGTCTCTGCCCTCAAAGAGCTTACATTTTGGAAGACAATATAATCAAGCAATCATATAAAAGGCAATACAGGCCAGGCATGGTGGCTCACGCCTGTAATCCCAAAACTTTGGGAGGATGAGGCAGGCGGATCGCCTGAGTTTGGGAGTTCAGACCAGCCTGGTCAACATGGTGAAACCCGTCTCTAATAAAAATACAAAAATTAGCCAGGCGTGGTGGCAGGCACCTGTAATCCCAGCTACTAGGGAAGCTGAGGCAGGAGAATCGCTTGAACCCGGGAGGCAGAGCTTGCAGTGAGCCGAGATTGCGCCACTGCACTCCAGCCTGGGTGACAAAGTGAGACTCTGTCTCAAAAAAAAAGAAAAGAGGGCAATATGAGCAGACCAGGAACATTGGAGGAAGTCTTGAGAGCCCTGAAGGAAATCTGGAGGAACTTGCAGGGAGTAGAAGAGGTTGTCAAAAGCTTCTAGAGAAACTGAAGTTTAAGCCATGGCTGGAAGTGAGTAGGGATTAGTCAAGTGAAGAGGTGGGGAGAGGTTTTCCAGACAAGGAACCAGCCTGGACCAGGACTAGAGAAAGCAGGGATGGCAAGTTCCAGAAATGTACCTGGAGCAGGGAGTTTGAAGAGGAGAGTGGAATGAGGTTACATGGAGAAGTAGTGGGCATGCCTCTGAGAGGCTGGCAAGCCGAGTTAGGGAGTCTGGACTTCATCCTGAAAGCCATGGGTATGATTTTTCAGAATAGGAGTCCCCCAGTGATATGCACGTCCTAATTTTTGGAACCCTTGTCTATGTTACCTTGCATGTCAAAAGGAACGTTGCAGGTGTGATTAAGGACTTTGGGATGGGGAGATGATCCTAGATTATCTGGGTTGGTCCAATCAAATCACAAGGATTTTTATGATCATAGGTATAACAAGGCAGCAGGAGGAGCAGAGTCAGAGAAGGAGATGTGACAACAGAAGCAGAGGTCAGAGCGATACAATTGTTATCTTTGAAGATGGAAGAAGGGGGCCATGAGCCAAGGAACGCAGGTGGCCTCTAGAAGCTGGAAAAGGCAAAGAAATGGCTTTTTCCCTACAGCCTCCAGGAAGGAACCAGCCCTGCCAGAACCTAGATTTTAGCCTAGTGAGATTGGTTTTAGGCTTATGACCTCCAGAACTGTAAGATAATAAATGTGTGTTGTTTTAAGTCATTCGGTTTGTGGCAATCTGTAACAGCAGCAACAGGAAACTAATACAATGGGGAATCAAGGAAGGTTTCTCAGCAGGGACCCATGGAGATCTCCTAGAAAGAAAGGTTACTCTAGGTAGTGTGGAGAATGGGCCACACTAAGCCAAAGTGAGGCAGAGACCAGAAATCCAGATATGAGATGGCAGTGGGCTTTGCCACAGTGCCTTCCAGCCTGAACACAGTTCTTAAGAAACTACTACTAGGCCGGGCACGGTGGCTCACAACTGTAATTCCAACATTCTGAGAGGCCAAGTGGGTGAATCATGAGGTCAGGAGTTCGAGACCAGCCTGGCCAACACAGTGAAACCCCATCTCTACTAAAAATACAAAAATTAGCTAGGCGTGATGGTGCACACCTGTAGTCCCAGCTACTCCGGGGGCTGAGGCAGAAGAATCACTTGAACCCGGAAGGCGGAGGTTGCAGTGAGCTGAGATCGCACCACTGCACTCCAGCCTGGGTGACACAGTGAAAGTCCGTCTCAACAAAAAAAGAAAGTCGCTACTAAATGGACAAAAAACTGCAAAGCAAAAGGCCCCTATTAACCTTCTGGGTAACATGAAGTCTCAGGCAAGCCCCTGCTGCTGCGTTCTGTTGCACAGAGTCACGAAGGGGCTTGAGAAGGACACTGCTGAGACAGCAAAGCCTCGGGCAAGCTGAAGGCCAAGCGGGAAAGGCATAAATAGAAGGTCTGAACAAAATGCCAGGTCTTGGAGAAGCAGATGCAGTGTGGGAAAGATGTCCTTTCTCCTCAAATTAATCTCCAAATTTTACAAAATTCATTGGGATTTTTTTTTTCAGTACTTGCAAATGTAAGTCTAAAGTTTATCAGAAAGAGTAAAGGTGTGAGAATAATCAAGAAAAAAATTAGAAGGAGGAGGTTTATGGTGGAAGGGATGATTTACTTTTATCAGGAATCAAAAGATTATAGAGCTTTTTAATGAAAACTGTGGTAATAGTGTGCCAATAGATAAACAGATCAATGAGTTGGAAGAGATTCAAGAAACAGACTGATGTACAAAGGATAATTTAATATTTGATAAAGATGAAATTTCAAATTATTGTCCCATGGTGTGGGAAAAATTAGCTATGTACTTGGAAAACAAAATAGAGTTTAATAGCTATTTCACATCTTATACAAACATGTATGCCAGATGAACTAAAGATATTATCATGAGTAGTAATAGCCATAGATATTCTACAAGAAAATACAGGAATATTTGTGTAAGTCTTTGCAAGAATGACACCATATAAGAACTGCTTGGCCGGGCCCGGTGGCTCATGCTTGTAAATCCCAGTACTTTGGGAGGCCAAGGCAGGCGGATCACCTGAAGTCAGGAGTGGGAGACCAGCCTGGCCAACA